AAAAAACGAAGTCAAATGGACACCAAATTTTCAACATTTTCCATGGAAAATTATACAAATCAAACACAATTAATTACAATTCTTAGTAAAACATTTTCTAAGAAAATCAATTCCCTGTAAAACATTTTCTTTCGACCCATTTTTCAACTTTACAATCAAACGGACCCTTATTGATTTCCATATTTTGCCCGAATATGTTACGTAATAGTTAAAACTACCCAGAGCAACCGACAGCATCATATATACACAAAACGCCCATTTCTCTCTCCCTCTCTCTCTGGATCTGAAAGAAAAGATTTGTTGCTTCGTCGCCATGAGAGGAACTATTGGATCATCTCGTGTAACGCGTATAGTTTTCGTATTCACAGTTATTTGCATTCTTTTCTGCCACAATGCCTTCGGCTTCTACCTCCCCGGTGTTGCTCCTGAAGACTTCAGAAAGGTCTCTTTCCGATCACCGCTTAACATTTTTATGAATCCGTATGATATATGCATGCTTTAATGTGATTATTGATCTAGTTTTTTTCAAAGATCTGTGTTGTTGGTCTTGTGTGTCTTAAGTGAGTGGGTATGGCACAATTGGATATGGATTGGACTATTTCTATTTGGGTAGTATTTGATTACAAGTTGGGATTGACATTAGTTTAAATCCTTCTAGAGAATGTTAATCAATTGTTGCTTGATGCACATTGTTTAATTTTTTCCCTCTTGTGCATTGTGCCGGTAGTTCTATCAAAAAAATTGGATAAGTGATGCCATATGGTTGTGAGATGTTACTGCTAAAGGAGAATGTGATGAGGATTATAATGATTTTATGATAGGAAGGTTGTACGAAGCCTTTTGATGGGATGGGGTTTGGAGAATGGAGGATGAAATTTTGAAGAGACTAAGCGGATATTGAGTAACTAATAACTATAGTGTTACAATTAGTGAATATGTCATTTAAGTTCTGTTTAAACATGGGATGCTATTATGTAATTTCATGGGTATTTATTACATAATATTTAGCCTGAGAGACAATTAAATCTATCTTTGAGATCTCGACACTAAATGGAGAGATGTATGTGTCCATGAACTCTAAGGTGTACGCATTTGAGCTCTATGTCTTTGCATGCTAAGGCTTTCTTAGCTCACCTGAGATAGCACTTCGATTGTTGGACCTGTCTGTCTTACAAATGGTCATCAAGTAACTTCTGAAATTTGTGTCAACGTAAAATGATCAATATTAAAATTATGTTGCAATAAATATACTTTGTGTCAGAACAGGAAACCATAAAGTGAGTTGCTATTCACACCCACCTTTAATAGATAATTAGACATATTTCCATATGCCAACACAAGGTTCAACTTTTATTCTGAAATGGAGAGAATCCCTATGTCAGTATGTTTTCAGAAGGATTGTTTCGGAAGTAGAGAGGAAAATAGGTGTTATTTCATCAAGATGCCATGCCACCACCGTTCTGTCATCCCTCCCCTCTCATCACCGTGCACCTTCACCCCAACAGTCCAACCTGTCTGTCCCACTTGTCGCTGCCACCCCCATACTTCATCCCTTCCCATTCCTGGGACTAGGATTGCCTCTACAAAATAGGTAATTCTTCTTATCGGTCAACATAAGGAACAAAATAACTTCTTTCTGCATTCATTCATTACTCATTAGTAGAGGTATGAATTTGCAAGTTCTTCTACTGTCTAAATTGTTGCCTACATTTTACTTGGTTCTTATCTTGAATGTTTCCACATTGTAAGTCGTAGTGTCATGACTCATATGATTTCAATTTTTTTTCTTTTTGGTTATTTTGTTGAATTGGGTGCAGGGGGATCCATTGAATGTGAAAGTGAACAAACTGACTTCTATAAAGACTCAGCTCCCTTACTCGTACTATTCACTTCCTTTCTGTCGTCCAGATGCCATAGTTGACAGTAGAGAAAATCTTGGAGAAGTACTTCGTGGTGATCGCATTGAGAACTCTCGTTATGTGGTCAGTATTATGTCCTTTATGAATACGGACCCATTTGACTGGTTTGTTAGTCATTGACATTTTCTTTTTGTGTGTGTTACAGTTTAAAATGAGAGAACCCCAGATGTGCAATGTCGTCTGTAGACTTAAACTTGATGCCAAAACTGCAAAAGAATTTAAAGACAAAATTGAAGATGAATATCACGTCAACATGTAGGTCCAATATGTCCATTTAACAAATCCAACGTCTTTTACCAATTTCCAAAGAATTTATTTCAAAGCATCCACATTTAACAATTCTGCTGCTTCATGTGGCAGGATCTTAGATAATCTCCCATTGGTGGTTCCCATTCCAAGGACAGAACAAGATAGTCCAGTTTATCAGCTTGGTTTTCATGTTGGGCTAAAAGGACAATACAGCGGAGTAAGTAATTATTTGTCTAAACTGCCTAGGTAATCCATATGCAAGAGATTTTTCTTTTGACTCACATTTCGTTCCCTTCCGTGCAGGGCAAGGATGAAAAATATTTTCTTCACAATCACTTGAGCTTCACTGTCAAGTATCATAAAGATCAACAGACTGAAGCGGCAAGGATTGTGGGTTTTGAGGTTGTACCATTCAGGTAGACTCTTTAGGGAGGTCTTAGTTCTTAATAATTTGTTCTAGGGATCAAGCTTTTGCTATTTTACTTCATAGAATTCTTTTGGCGTTTGTAGTGCATCATGTACTTATCTTCTATATCTCGTGCATTTAGTGTCAAGCACGAATATGAAGGACAATGGAGTGAGGATACTCGTCTAATGACGTGTGATCCCCATGCAAAGCGTACGGTTTCCACCTCAAGTTCTCCCCAAGAAGTTGAAGATAAACGAGAAGTCATATTCACTTATGATGTTGCATTCGAGGTAATTACCAATAAATCTGATTCTATGCAAGAAAATGTTATCTTCATCGCCGGAAAAACCAAGTTTTTCTTGTTTCGTTCTTTTTAATGCATGTATTGTTCTTTCCCGCTATAAATTTCAATATTCCTGGAACTCGATAATCTCACTGCTCTGCGCTGCAGGAAAGTGAGGTGAAGTGGGCATCAAGGTGGGACACCTACCTTCTAATGTCAGATGATCAAATCCATTGGTTCTCAATAGTAAATTCTTTGATGATCGTTCTCTTCCTCTCGGGCATGGTTGCAATGATAATGCTGCGGACACTTTTCCGGGACATCTCCAAGTATAACGAACTCGAGACTCAGGAAGAGGCCCAGGAAGAAACTGGATGGAAATTGGTCCATGCAGATGTGTTCAGGCCACCAAATAACTCGGAATTACTGTGTGTCTATGTCGGAACTGGTGTACAGTTTCTAGGGTTGGTGCTTGTGACTATGATCTTTGCCGCACTCGGATTCCTTTCTCCTTCCAACCGTGGAGGACTTATGACAGCCATGTTATTCCTTTGGGTTCTCATGGGACTTTTTGCTGGTTATGCCTCTGCTCGTCTTTACAAGATGTTCAAAGGAACAGAGTGGAAGAAAATCGCTCTTAGGACTGCTTTTCTGTTCCCCGCTACAGTTTTTAGCATCTTCTTTGTACTCAATGCACTCATCTGGGGCCAGAAATCATCGGGGGCAGTCCCATTCGGAACAATGTTTGCTTTAGTCTTCCTATGGTTCGGAATTTCAGTACCACTAGTCTTCGTTGGAAGTTACATAGGCTTTCGAAATCCAGCAATTGAGGATCCTGTGAAAACAAACAAAATTCCCAGGCAAATCCCTGAACAGGCATGGTACATGAACCCCATATTCGCAATCTTAATAGGAGGTATACTCCCATTTGGAGCTGTTTTCATCGAGTTATTTTTCATTCTCACCTCGATATGGTTGAATCAGTTCTACTACATTTTCGGGTTCCTCTTCATCGTCCTGGTCATCCTCATCATCACGTGCGCTGAAATATCGATAGTTCTTTGCTACTTCCAGTTATGCAGCGAGGATTACCTCTGGTGGTGGAGATCATACTTGACATCAGGTTCTTCGGCTCTATACCTCTTCCTCTACGCTGCATTCTATTTCTTCACTAAACTCGACATCACCAAGCCTGTCTCTGGTGTATTATATTTTGGGTACATGTTGATCGCTTCATACGCGTTTTTTGTTCTAACGGGCACCATTGGCTTCTATGCCTGCTTCTGGTTCACCAGGATGATTTATTCTTCTGTGAAGATTGATTGATAAATGCAAGATATTGCAGAAAAGAAATTCCTCTGTCCTTGGAAAGCAAAAGTAGATAAATACAATATCGAGTAAATGCATGCTTTAGAATGATCATATAAACATTCTTTTTGAGTGTGAGTACTAAATAATTGTTATAGTTACCTTATTTTAGTCTATTTACTTGGATTTCTTATAGTACTGCTTCTTGTAATACACAAGAACCATTATTTAAAAATTCTTTTTTCCAATACCCATATTCGATCACGTTCTAAAATACACATTCTCCTAAAATTCAGTGTTCAAAGCATTATTTTAACCAAATAATGGCCATCAAACAGGATAGTAATAAATCTTTGCTTATACTATTCACTTCATCGTACCAAACCAGGAATTTGCCTATTTCAATACCTAACATAAGAATTTTCTAGCAGGACAAAATCCCGATCGATGGTGAAATCTAATATACCACAATTTTGGCACACCACAGTTGTCAAATGTCCATTCTCCAATAGTAATCCACGCAAAAATCGAACTCGAAATTCCACCACCATAAAGTTAGATGGACTTCAGTAGAACAATATTCAGGACGTAAACCAAGAAATAAGTACTTTTGCACGAATTCAATAAATTTAAGTGAAAAAAAAAAAGGAACAAGAAGTTCCTTTAACCTCATTTTTCCACCACCAGCAGTTACAAAGAAAGTGTAGAATACAGGAGTACGACTGTATGAACACATCTTTTATTTGCGAGGATGTGTATCTTTAGGATCAGCAACACCGAAGGAAACTTTGGCAACGTCCCGGGCGGTGGCTTCGGGCTTTTTCTTGGTGTACAAGGTGAAGTACCATATAGCGCCACTAATAGCAAGGCCACCAAGAACTATGGTATATGGGCTGTAAGGCAAGCTCCGCCGCTGGTGGAGGACGCCACCAGGGTTGTGCCCCGGCGGCCGCTTTGAGGCCTCAACTCCTGCGCTTTTTACTTCCTCAGGGCTCATTTTGTGGGTGTCTGCGTTTTTCCTCCAATCTTCATTTCCTCCCATCTATTTTCTCCTTTCTCAAATGAGTGGAATGTGTGAGTATGCGTGTTGTGGCGGAGTGGTGGCGGCCATGGGGCTGCCACGTTCTTTATAAAGAAGATTACGGCGGTGCATGGACTCAACGTGTCAATTTGCTTCGTCTTTGCGTGACATGTGCATGCGCAATGCTAATCTACATCACATAAAAATTCTGAATAGGTAGGAAATCTACGAGGCCGATACTAGTAGTATATCAAACTTTACATCGGGGTTACACTCCTCTCATATGGGGGTGGGGTCCACTCGAATAAAAAAATATTATTTCAGTGGATCCCACCCCCCAGGATGTAACCGTTAATCTACACCACTTGATGTACAGGTGGTATAACCCAATCTACAATATATACTATCGGGGACAATTAGATGCCATTAAGAGAATGTTGATTGCAATAAAAAATATTTTCCATAATTTGAGGAAAATAAAAATGTACTCTCCAAAAACATATTTTCCTTAAAAAAAAAAAAAAA